GCAAGCCGCGGCGGGAGCGTGGGGGGCGCGGGCCTAGGGCAAGGCGGTCCGCGAGTACGTCCAGGGATCTTCAGAGGCGTCTGAGCCGGCTGCCAGCCTTCCTTCTCCACGCCCGTCCCCACTCACGCGTGGGCGCCCGCGGCGGCTCTACGCGCGGGCACTTCGCGGACGCTCTCCCGCACGGCCACATCGGCTGCCGCGCACCACGCCCCGCCTGCGGTCACACGACATAAACTCACACCCCTTCGTGCACACCCGCGCCTTCCCGGGTCTCACATCCGCGCGCAGCGTCCCGGCCCCTTAGACCGAACCTTGCCAAGGCGATGGCCGAGGGTGGTGGCGGACAACCCCACACCATATGGTTGTTCGGTTTCCTTTTCCCTTCCCACTGTTGTGTTGCCCGTGAGTCCCCCCCTCCTCTCCCCCCCCCACAGAGGGACTGTTTTCTCTCACGGTCCTAGAGGTTGCAAAATCCCCAGGTGTCTGAGCCCCTCGAGTCTCCCTCCACCCACCAGGACTAGGTGGCCCGTGGGGCGACCCCGCCGCCCTACAGGTGTGAGGACGCTGGGACCAGGCGACTTTGGGGCCTTCCGGCGGCGCAGGGAGCCGGGACTCTTATTTTGAAGGGCGCCCCCCATCCGCCACCCCCGTGATTTGCACGCTGACCCAATGGCAAGCCCTTGGCCGGTGCTCGGCTTGTTATCAATTACATGTTGTTCCTGCAGTCGCTGTGTCCCCGGGAGGATAAACAGCAGGCCTGGCCGGCAGGGGGAGGGGGCGGAGTCCAGCGGCCAGCCGGGGACGGTGCCAGGAACAGCGTGTCCCCTCCCCCTGCACGCAGCTTGCGCCTCAGGCCGCCCCACGTGCTGCTGTGTTTTGGGGGCTGGAGCCTGCTCCAGCTCCGCGTGCTCCCTCTTTAACTAACAGCTGCCCCCGCCCCTGCTCCCGACAGTTCCAGAGCCCCTTCTGGCTTCCCAGGCCCATCTCAGGGATGCTCAGCCCTGCCTCAAGACCCTGTTGCTTGACATGGGACCCCCCACTCCTACTCTGCACCCCTGCTGGGTACCCTTTCCTCACTCATTCAGCAAATTCTGCCAGGGCCTCCTGACCTTAGACTCTGGGGTGCAACCTTCCGCTGAACAGTCAGAAATGCTTATGTTCTGATGGGGAGATAGGAAACAAAGTTCACAAACACACAGTCGGGATAGTTTCCCAGAGTGACTCCTGCTGGGAAGAGAATAACATGGGGTGATGTAACAGAGGGTGGTCTGGGAGGCTCCCACAGGAGTGACTTCTGAGCCGAGATTTAAATAAGGAGCCCCCACCTAAGGGCTAAGGGGAGAGACACTTACATGAGGGAGGTACTCAGGGAGGGTGTGGTGAGGTTGACGTATCTGGAGTGAGGAGTGGAGCCACTGGATGTGAGGTCTGCAGAGAGACAGAGATGGCCTGGCTCAGGGGCTGGCTGCTGTGAGGCTGGTCACCCAGAGGCTGGTCACCCAGGGGCTGGCCACGGTGAGGCTGGTCATGTCTTCTTGGGGAGCCATGAGAGGTGGTGTCCTTCTAGTCTCACGCTACTCTCTATTTATGTCACTTCATCTGTGAATATCTCAGGTTATCTCTTTAAGAGGTAGGGTCTCCTTTAAAAATTGTAGCCACAATACCATCATCGCACTTAAAAATATGAGCAGCGATTGCCTACTGTTTCAGTGGAGGGTTGTAAGCAGGTCTGCCTGGGTCACAGGAAGGTTGGCGTCCCCGTGACTCCTCAGCGTCACAGCAGAAAGGCAGAAGAAGCATGTGCTGACCATGCTGCAGGCTGACCCTGACCGAGTGCTTGCCTGTGTGCCAGACCCTGCAGTGAGCTCCGAGCAGGATCTGGGACTTTTGTTTCTTCCCAGCCCCTGACTTGGTGAATTGTGTGTATTTTAAAACCCACTCCCAGTTTTAAATCTTTAGCTGAGTAAGCCAAAAAGCCAAGCATCCTTCTGGAAAAACCAGCCTGGGGTGCAGACCTTGCTTTAGTTTGTTGGAGCTCCATGAAGTTTTCTGGATGAACTGGGAACTGAAGTCAGAGGTCCTGGGATTTCTCTACAATGAATAAAAAAGTTAGCCAGGCATGGTCGCGCACACCTGTAGTTCTAGCTACTGGGAAGGCTGAGGCGGAGGGATGACCTGAGCCCAGCAGGTCGAGGCTAGGTGGTTGTGATCGTGTCACTGCACTCCAGCCTGGACGACAGAGTGAGACTCCAACTGAGACAAAACAAAATAAAAACACAGGTCCTGGAGTCCCTAAGCAGTAGAAAGACTTAGAGATCTTTGAAGCATGGAACAGATGAGGAAACTGAGGTTGGGGGGGGAGCAAGACTTGCGCAAGGTCATAGCTGATGATGATTCTGGCCTGTTGACCATTGGGCAGTGCTGGGTACCAGGCCCAGAAGTGGTCCTGGAGACAGAGGGGGCCAGTGTGGAGGTGACGCCAGGCAGCAGAGAATCTCTGGTGTCCACCACAGAACCTTCCCCTTCCCCAAGTTCAATAAACACCCAGCCCAATGTGGTCACTGGGCAGGGACAAAGGTCCACAGAGGTGGCGCCGTCACAGCCAGACACTGTTGACTCTCCTTGGACACTGGACCTAGTATGTCTTTTAGCCTCAGAGGACGCAGGTTTCTCCTCTTGTCTCTATCAAAGTTCCGTGGGCCCCTCCTGGGTATCAGGGGCCACGCCAGGCGTGAGGGACGCGGCAGAGACATGGAGCACACTGTCTCGGGGGGAGACGGGCAGTAGCTGAGCCTTCTGAAGGTGGTGAGTGTCCTGGATGGGGAGAGCAGCGACAGGAGGGTGCAGGAGACTTGGCCAGGGGGGTCTTGTCTCCTCTTCCGCTGGATGGTTGTGAAGTCCAAGGTGGTTCCACACACGCGAGTGCTCCGGGGACCTCAGGCTGACTCCATATGTGAATTATCACTAGGCGGCGGGGCCTTCTCCTCCAGGGTGGTAAAGCATCAGGGTGCACTTCAGAGTTGTTCAAGCCTGTGCCCTCCACAGAGGACGTGGAGGGAGGGTGAGGACTAGGAGGGATGAGCTTTTCCTCTTCCAGTGGGGAAATGGCGCCTGCATGGGCAGGTGCTTATTGGTCTTCAATTTTTTTGCCTCCAAACTGGGTTTGCCTGATTAACATACAGGTATCATGTATCTATAGTTCCAGCTACTTGGAAGGCTGAGGCAGAAGGATTGCTTGAGCCCAGCTGGTCGAGGCTGCTGTGGCCATGAGCGTGCCATTACACTCCAGCCTGGGCGACAAGAGTGAGACTCCAACTCAAAAAAAAGAAAAGAAAAGAAAAGAAAAAAAATACAGATAGCGCAGTTGAATTTTAATCTTAGATAAAACAGTTTTTAAAATATGTCTGTCCCATCCAGTATTGGGAACATACATCAAAAGTAGTTCGTTTTTTAAAATCTGGAATTCAAATTTAACTGGCAGTTTGTATTTTTATTTGTACAATCTGGCAACCTTGTGGAAGCCCCAACAACATGGGGGCCAGAGGGCAAATGGCTGTTCACTTATCCCCATTCTGTGACTCAGCAGGCATAAAGCTGAGGTCGGGTCCTCAGACATGCAGTGACTTCCACGATGTCCCTGACTTTGGCCCTTCTGGGGTTCAGAGAGCCTCCTTGCACACCCCTCCCACACTCACTTACACTCAGTTGTTCACAGACACATGAATTCTTTTCCAGGATTATTCTGGAAAATCTGTTTGAAACCAGAAATGCCCCAGGTTGTGCAATGGGCTTGGAGAGGGCGCTTTTGCAAACAGGTGGTGCAATTTCAGAAAACACTCTTGCAGGCACAGCTCTCCTGAGGGAAAGGCAGGATCCAGGTGTTTGGCAGCGGCAGGCTGGGGTAGGCGGTAAGGAGGGTTGGCACAGGCCCACGAGGTGGCAGGTGCGTACACTGCCCTTCTGACCAGGCCTCCCTCGTTCCTCCTCTGCAGCCGCCACCGGCACGGCCAGGCCAGCATGGTGGACCACTTGCTTCCAGTGGACGAGACCTTCTCGTCGCCAAAGTGCCCGGCAGGCTACCTGGGTGACAGGCTGGCCGGCCAGCGGGCGTACCACATGCTGCCCTCGCCCCTCTCCGAAGATGACAGCGATGCCTCCAGTCCCTGCTCCTGCGCCAGCCCTGACTCCCAAGCTCTCTGCTCCTGCTACAGCGGAGGTCCGGGCGCCGAGGGCCAGGACAGCATCTTGGACTTTCTGCTGTCCCAGGCCACGCTGGGCAGTGGTGGGGCCGGTGGTGGCATCGGGGCCAGTGGCAGTCCTGTGGCCTGGGGGGCCTGGCGGAGGGCACCGGCCCCCGTGAAGGGGGAGCACTTCTGCTTCCCTGAGTTTCCTGTGGGTGACCACAAAGATGTCCTGAGGCCCTTCCAGCCCACCCTGGAGGAGATTGAAGAGTTTCTGGAGGAGAACATGGAGCCGGGAGTCAAGGAGGCTTCTCCGAGCAACAAGAACTCGGAGGCCTGTGGCCAGCTCTCGGCCGGACCCCACAGGAGCCACCTCCACTCCGGGTCTGGCGGGAGAGAGCGCTGTACTCCTCTGCCGGGTGGCACCGGTGCGGGCAGCGCCCAGGGCCCAGGTGGGGGGCCTGCCCCCGACGGCCCCATCCCAGTGCTGCTGCAGATCCAGCCCGTGCCTGTGAAGCAGGAATCAAGCGCAGGGCCCGCCTCCCCTGGGCAGGCCCCGGAGAATGTCAAGGTCGCCCAGCTCCTCGTCAACATCCAGGGGCAGACCTTCGCACTTGTGCCCCAGGTGGTGCCCTCCTCCAACCTGAACCTGCCCTCCAAGTTCGTGCGCATTGCCCCTGTACCCATCGCTGCCAAGCCTGTCGGATCGGGAGCCCTGGGGTCCAGCCCTGCCGGCCTCCTCGTGGGCCAGAAGTTCCCCAAAAACCCAGCGGCAGAACTCATCAAAATGCACAAATGTACTTTCCCTGGCTGCAGCAAGATGTACACCAAGAGCAGCCACCTCAAGGCCCACCTGCGCCGGCACACGGGCGAGAAGCCCTTCGCCTGCACCTGGCCGGGCTGTGGCTGGAGGTCAGTATGGTGGGAGCAGGCCTGGGCGGTGAGCACGGGCCCGTGCATATCTGCTCGCTCGCTTCCCACCGCTGGGCAAAGATGATGAGGAAGGGGAGAGGAGGGTGGGCAGGGGCAGGGTCAAGCTGGCACAGCCACTCAGAGGCTCCCCTGTCCCTCTTGTTTACTGAAAAGCTGGAGGCCAACCACCTCCAGTTTCATAATGACCAGGTAAGGCTTGCTGTGGTCTCCCCATCTGGTCAGACAGGGCGAGGGGTGAGAGGCTGGCCACAGTGAAGGGCACTCATGCCAGTGATGATGACTGAGAAGGATGCAGAGCTGGGGGCCTCGCTGCCCTTGGGGTAAGTATCCCTCCAGCTTACATCTGAGACCCTGAGGCTCCACGGCCAGGCACTCACCCAAGGTTCTCTGCCTTGTAAATGGGGTTTGAACCCCAGGGGATCAGATTAGAGAGGCCGTCATGTTCTGAAAATGCTGTCCCAACTAGTGGGACTAGTTTCATTCACAGACATCTCTGGGTTTGGCCTTGCTTCCTCCCTGGGGACATGAGGCATGTTTGGGAAGCTGAGAGGGAGGCCAGGCTGGCTAGCCATGCCAAGCCAAAAGGGGCAGAGTCCTTCCACGCTCTCTGGTCTGCAGTCCTCAAAAGGTAGGGGCCTGGCCAAAGGTTACGCAGCCCTTGGTTGCCAGAGCTAGACGGCCCCGTGAATCACCCTCCTCGCAAGGGCTTGTCCACCTTTTCCTGAAATGCAGACAGCCTGTTAAGAGCACACATGCTGGGGGTGCTGCAGCCCAGCTCAGGACGCCTGTCCTCAAGGTCTCTGGCCAGCCTGGATGGGCACATGCCTGGTCCCTGCTGCTGTGGCTGCATGTGTGTCTGAATGAGAGAGAGGTGGGGTGTGAGCAGAGCTGGCCCTTCCCAGGGGCACACGGCTGTGTGTGTGCATATGCACACGTGTAAGCATCTTATCTCTTCGTGCAGATTGTATCGTGGGTGAGCGCAGTTGCACACGTGCATGCTTTAGGTGTTTGTGCCCCTCTTGCATGTGCTTGCATACGTGTGCACATGTGTTGTGTGTGGATGTAGCACACAGGAAGCAGTATATAGCTTTTGCTGTCTTGACTGCCCTCTGGTTCTGAGAGCGCTTGAGAGTTGGCCAGGGACAGGAGTCCTGGCTGACGAGGTTATGCCCTGGACTGGGAGCCAAGTAGGATGTGAGATGTGATGCCGGTGGTCTCTGTCCACTGAGCACTGGGCTAGCCAGAAAAGGGACTTTTCCCAAACAGTGTCTTGGGTTATGCTGGCCCTTCCCAAGCAAGGACAGCACTCTCTGTTCCCCACCCTAGACAGACCCGAAAAGCTTCCGCAAAAGCCCACACTCTGGCCTGCGGGGTCTTGGTCCTGCTGTTCCCATCCTCTGAGCCCCCTGCCCTGGCCTGCCAAGTGGGTGCTGAGCTACCAGTCTGCTTGTGAGGGCGGGTTGCTACGGTGGGTGTGCTGTGAGGTGGTCAGAGCTTGGGGTGGGAGGAGCCCAGAGGGGGCTGCAAAGTGCTCTTAACTGAAGGGAACAGCACCCTGACTTCTGAAGAAGAAAGGGAGGGCTGGTCTTGAGCCCCATGCCTGGATGAGCCACCAACTTGTCGCTTGCCCCCAGTTTGCTCATCTGTGGAGTGGAGGGCTGGCACTTTGCAGCCTGGGCAGGGTGCTGGGCGCTCAGCAGCACCCTTCTCTTCGGGCATATCATCACTCTCAGACAACATCAGAGTCTGAGAAGGGACCGTGCGGGTGTTCTGACCAGCCTCTGCACAGGCACGCCCATCCTGGGAGGTGCCCCCTACTTGTGGGGACTCTACGTGCATTCTCCCCTTGGTGGGAGTGCATCGGGGCTTGACAGCTTCCCTGGTCTTGACTTTGGATGGGCCCCCCTTTGAGGGTGCCGTCTTCTGACCAGTGCTGACCATTGGTGAGTGGTTCCTCCATTGGGGTGAGGTTGGGTGGGATGGCAGGGAGGGAGTTGAGGCCACTCCCCCAGAAGGAGGGAGCCTGCCTTCTTCTGGGCTGTCCCAGAGCCAAGAGCAGACCCTCGGCCTAGAGTGTCGCTTAGGGAGGCAGATTTTTAGCCCTCCACCCGGTGGCCTCTGAAGCAGTCAGTTCCCCATCTCAAAAGGTGTGCAGGTGAGAGTGGGGCTCATGGAGAGTATTCGGTTCTGACATGGCCTAAGCCCAGGCACTGGTCTTCTTGCTCAGGACCCACTTGGCAGGAGAAGGGCGATAGGTGCCTGGCACAGTGAGGCCCCCACAACCCTGCCCTGGGAGCTGTCCCTGCCATTAGCCACACCCAGGCTTCTGAAGGGCTCCTGCAGCTCCCCTCCTGGAGGCCCTCAGGAGCAGAGCTGATCTTGTGGGGGTAGCTCATGGCAGAGGCACTGTCCTGCTGGGAGCTGAGGGTATTTGCCTTGAGAGGGCTGGGGAGTCCCTGTTTGGCCTTTGGGGATCCTGGACCCCTAGGAATGTAGCCAAGATGCTTGTGTTCTTTAAATGTGGTGAGTCTTCTACTGAGGGTCAGAGGGTGAGGGGAGCATCCTCAGTCGAATGGAGGACGGACCTACCTTTAGGGTAGCTCTGTCTGGACAAGACTGGCGAAGAAATCATGATGATAAGGGAGAGATGCCATGTTGACTGATCACTTACGGTATGCTGGGCACTACTCTAAGCTTCTCAGAGCTGGAGTCCCCTTCACCGCTACCTTCACCTGCAAACCTCCTGCCATGGGGAGCTCATTCCCTGCAGAGCTACTCTGGGCTTTATGTGTATTTGGGTGCACTAGCATCCCTATGCAGACTTCTCTTTGTGGCCACAGGCCCAGACAACCTGCTCACCTGCCTCTCCGCCCTGCTGGGTGGGTCCAGCCATGGCGACCTCCTCTCTGTGGCTCAGGCTGCTGCCTGGGCACTGCCCCCCTCTGTGCCCGCTGCACAGACAGTGAATGATCCCATGGCTGCAGTGACAGCCATGGTCTTGCGATGGTCTCAGATTTGGTCTTGCGATGGTCTCAGTTTTGTTCTGTACATGCTACCGGCATTAGCTCATTGAATTCTCACCATAGCCCTGCAAAGTGTAGCCATTAATCTGCATCCCTCACTTCACGGAAGGGGAAACGGAGGCACAGAAAGATCATACCGCATGCCCACAGTGGCATAGCTAGTGAGTGTGGGTCTGGGCTGCATGCCCAGGTGGACACCTCAGCCCTGCTTTGTGCCTCCAGTGGCACTGCCTGGTGTCACCGTGCTGTGTCTCCTCCCCCCCACCAGGTAGTGGCTCTTTTAGGCTGCTGAGCTTTGGGAAGAGAGCTGATCATGGAGTCACGGTGGTAGTCAGAGCCTCTGTGTGTGCTAGGCTGGCTCCAGATGCTTTGCATGTGCTAATTCATTTAGTTCTCAAGATCAGTAGGCACTGGCCTGCTGTCCCTGTTTTACAGAGGAAAGAGTTAAAGCACCAGAACAGTTAAGTAAGTTCCCTGCAGCCACACAGCTGGTGAGCCAGGGGTTCTCTCACCCTGACTCAGGGACCCTCTGCACACCTCTGTGGGGGGCTTACTCCAGTGTGACCCCTGCACACGTGCCTGCTCCCTCTTGGGAGCCCCTCACTCCCAAGGCTTCATCTCTTCTTCCTGGCCATCCTGGTGAGTGGGAGGACCCTCTTCCCCAGGCTGGCTCTGGTCCGGTGCTGGGTCCTATGCTCAGAGGACAAGCCAGCGCCCTCCCAGACCCACCCTTGCCCGCCTCTGTGTCATGGAAAGTGCCCTCCCTCTCCCGTCGAGGTACTCAACCTCCACTTCCTTCTGCTTTTGGTCCCGAACCCAGTGTTCCCTGTCTCCTCCCTACTGTGGTTTCAGCAGCCTTGCAAGGCTGAAGCCAGACCTCCCCAATTCTGGTCGAACTAGGAAGTGCCATTTACCTGCCTTCCTGGAAGTTTCCTGGCCTCACTCTCAGACACAGGCCCTCTTTGTTCCTTGCAGAACGTCCTGTTCCGCAATGGCCAAGCCATTCCGTCTGGAAAGAATCCCCTTCTGCCACAACTAACATGAATAATAACTCTCAGCAGCCCAGGGTAGCAGGCCCTGATGTTGCCCACAGAGGACACAGGAGGCCCAGAGAAGGGGAGTTGTGGCCCTAGAGGTACAGGGCTGGGAGGCAGCAGGGACAGGATTCACCCCAGGGGCCTTGCTCCCAGTCTGCTCTCTTGACCCCTGTGTGTCCAGGCATCCTCTGACCCCCTCCCAAGTGTGGTTCGGCAGGTTGTGAGCGTCATGACTCCAGGGGCTCCTGCTGCAGTCCCTGGGACTTGACTGCCTCTGGTGATGGCTTCTGGTGGGTGGCAGATTCGTGTCTCAGGGAAGACTGCTTTCATGGGCTCTGGTGTTGCCACCAGGGACCAGGCCCTGCACTCAACTCTGGGCAGGTAGCACGAGCTCGAGATTCCTGAATAGTTGCCATGTGCTTAGCGCTGCTCTAAGCACTTTACTGGCTGCCTTTTACAGGCCTCAAATCCTGCAAGAGAGGCATGTTTCTCCTGACACCAGGTGGGGAAACTGAGGCTCATCTTGTACCTTGCCCAGGTTGCCTGGTCAGTAAGTGGCAGCGACTACTGCCCACAGAGGCTGCATCTCCCCCACCTGTCATCTCTCCTCCCTGCTGTAGTCCTCAGACCTCTCTGTTGGCTGCTGTTTGGGCGGCTGTGGCATGCAGGGGTGAGGCAGGGTCGTCTGAGGGCTCGGTTCCCAGGGCAGTCTCTCAGGTGCCAGGACCCTTTGGCAGCAGAGAGGAGGCTTGGAACTGGGGGCAGCTTTTTCTCTAGCCTGGGTCAGCCTCGGCTGCCTGTCCTTCCCAGGGTGTCTCCATGACTTAGAGGGCTGCTGTGGCCTGTGTGACACCTATGGCCTCTGAGATGAGTCCTGGAAGCCTGGCAGGAATCCCAAGGTCTTGCTGAATGAGCCAGGAAACTGAGGGCCAGGATGGCTCTGTTGTCTACTTAGGGCCACACAGGGACCAGGTGGGCTGAGGACTGCAGGGTGAGGACCCAAGAACCACTCTTGCTGTCCCACAGGCTGTGGGACTTGACGTCTTTGAGCCCTTGCTGGAATCTTGCCAGTTCAACGGGACTGATCCTGGCTTCCTGGCAGGAAGGTGCCAGGTTCCTGAGAAGGTGTGACACTGTTTCTGTGGCTTTCAGCTCATCCCTGCCCTGGGTCAGCTCATCTGCTCAGAAGTCGCATGCCCAGCTCCAGTCAGGGGAGGGGGCCCTGGCCCAGGGGCTCAGGTCTAGGCTGTCACTGCTGTGACACATTTATCCCATTTCTTCACTGGCACAAAGTCCTGGTGCTGTGGAGACCAGCAGGCATCTCTAGGTTGGAAGCCCGGGCCATTTTCTGTCACCGGGGCAGGGAAGGGCACAGCAGGGGGCTGAGGCCTCGCGCTGGCCTCAGCTGCTCTGTCTGCTGAGCCTCAGTTTCCTCATCGGGCACAGGATGGTTGGAAGATGTCATCAGACACTGTCCTGCCAGGCACCACCGACACTCTGAGATATGGGTGTGAGTGCCAGCCACACGTGCAGACGTTTTCTGCTGTCTGGGGGCTGGACCCAGGGCACTGGCCAGCAGTTTGAGGCTGAGGCTCTTCTCCCACAGGCCCCTCCTGGCACCTGCCTGGGCCTTGCCTGGCATGTGTCCCACTGGGTCCTTCTCCTCAGGCTGCAGAACCAGGGCCTCCACTCACAGGGTCAGGGCAGAAGGGAGCGCGGGAGCTGCTGTGCTGGGCACTGCCTCTCTCTGTACGGTCCCACAGGGTCCGCGTGTTTGTGTATGTGCATGCGTGTGTGCTTGTGTGCAAACCTCTGTGCATGTGTTCATCTGTATGTGCATGTGTATGTGTGAGTACGTTGTGTGTGTGTTTGCAGGTGTGTGCACTGTGGTGTGTCTTTGGAGTGCTTGCTGTGTCCACTCGTTCATTGACATGCACTTCCTGAGGACCTACCACACACCAGGCACTGGGCTGGTCACGGGGGAGACCGCAGCAACCAGACACACACATCTTTCTACATGAAGCTGATGGTCTTGTGAGACAGACTGACACACTCATCCAAAAGTTAGATATGATATCAAATTGCAACAGCAGCAAGTGTGAGGAAAGAGAGGTGTATAATGCCATGGGAACCTAGAAGAGGATGCAGTCCTGGAGGACTTTCCTGAAGAAGTGACATTCAAGCTGAGCTCTTAAAGGACTGGGTAGGAGAGGGGAAGGAAGAGCATTCTAGAAAGAGGGAATAGTATGTGCAAAAGTCCTATGGTAAGAGGGACCAAGGAGAGATCAGTGTAGACGGAGCATAACGGAAGACAATATGTGTGCAGGGGATGAGGCGAGGGGCGTCCTGCTGCTGGGACCAGGTTCGGATGAGAGGGCCTCAAGTCCCTGAGTTCGGTGACAAGGCACCTGG